TAACTAAGTAGTTACTTTTGTTGGTAAATAGTTACTTTTATGATCTTGTAACTCAGTTAGTAACTGAGTTACTTTTTTGACAAAGTAATCAGTAACTATAACTAATTACTTTTTTTAAAGTAACGTTCCCAACACTGGTAACGTGACAACATACCAACTAAATGTTTGTGGCATGTTGCAGAGACGTTTTCAGGTAAACTTTTTTTGTCACCTTTATTCATTATGTAGATACCACAGGAAATTATATTGCAAAACTAATGGCAGATTAACAGCAAAAACAACCAGAATGGCAAAACAAATGTATAAAAACCTTAAAAACAAGTAATATAGGACAGTGGTGTCTTGATTTCATTTAAAAAATAAGCTCTACTGCATATACTGTATTTAGTAGTAGGCAGCAGGATCAGATGTAATTTCACAAAGGAATATATATGTATGTATATATATATATATATATATATATATATATATATATATATATATATATATATATAGATAGATAGATAGATAGATAGATAGATAGATACCATAGATAGAAAAAGTAAAAATTGTGAACAAAAGAAAGAAAAAAGAAAACAGAAAGGGTGCAGGCGGTACCTATGTTTTGCGGATTTTTTTCCATATGACCCTCTGCTGGGTGTCGACATGTTCAGATTGTTTTCCATACATTGCACGTCTCCCTGTGGCTTGGATGAAAGAGATGAAAGGACAGATTGACTTAGTCCTCCTCAGAAAAATGGGCCTCCATTTGTGTGGCCCAATGCTGTGCTTCAGCCTGAAGGAAAAAAAAGGAAGTAAGCAATTAGTTAGTTAGTTTGACTTTACTTGAACAGACCGAATAAACCATAGTACGCAAGCTACCACGCGGTAGCTACCCATGCGGCATTGAGGGCAGATATATGATATATGTAAACCAAAATCACAAGTATAATAACAAGCACGATTTAAAACTTTTTCTTACCTGCAGCAAGCAAACTAAAGAGTGAGTAGCCTAGTGAACTAGACCAAATTCTTGCTTTGCAAAGTTTGGTCTCGGCATGCTCCATTGGAACCTCAGCAGCTCCTACCAGGACTCTGGCTAGCCAATCACAGCTCTCTAGAGGGGTTTCAAACACATAAAGAGCTGTGATTGGTCCATAATGGTGGGCCAATCATAGTGCTCTATCTGCTTAGTGAACAAATCACAGAGCTTTAGCCGCTTTGTGGGCCAATCAGGGCACTCTATATGCCTGGTGGGTGGGATGATGCAACAGAGTGAAACAAGAGTATGTCACATTCTTTGTCCAGTGGAATGCGGAGAGGAGATCATTTGAAAGACAACGGTAGATCCCGCCCCACAACCGAAAGCCGTCAATGGAGCATGGCCAGACTAAATAATACATTTATTTAGTCTGGCTTGCCAGGCTAAAGAGTGAGTGGTTGACAAATAAATCAGACGAAGTAGCCAAACACCAAAGAGCAACTGGAAATGAATCTTGTGGAAAAAAACATGGGATAAAATAAGAACAAAAACAGAGGCAGATTAAGCTTATTGGAAGATGGTCGTGGAACACATGATGACCATAACAAATCAGAGAACTGGCTGGAACATCAGTCTCAGTAATCGGTTGATTTTCAGGGTTGTTACAACAAGCCATTTCATTGGAGGGCTGTGAGGGCAGTAACATGTAAAGTAGCTTACATTTCTTTGCTGGTGAATTTTAGAAAGTAAACATTTGTAAACAGCAAAAATGAGTTTTTCAGTAAACAAAGTTTTTAAAAAGATCAAATTTTTTGGTTGAAAAACTGTTTTAGCCATGAAAGTGGAATAATGGTTAACTTAATTATTGTCAACTCCAAATACTAACAAAAACAAAACATTGGAGGGCTGTGAGGGCAGGTTGTTATAATATAGGGATTTAAGCCAGTGAAACCTAAACATTTCAAAAATATTCTCTACAAATAAAATATGCAGTTATAGAAGCCACCAGATATCAGTTTTTATTTTTTAAATTGTTTTATTTGTAGTTTTATTTACACACTTTGTAAACAACAACAACACACACACACCTTCATCATCATCACTCCCCTCTTGCACAACATGTACCTTTCTTTGTTGGTGGTTTTCTGAAAGGTAACATAGGGTATATAGGACAGTATACAGGATATTTTTTCCAGCCTTCAGAGAGTACAGACGCTTTTTTCTCCGCTCCCTTATCGGCTTCCCCAAGGCTCTTGTCCTGTCTGCCTACAGAGCACTTCTCTGCATTTCTCCTGAAACCACTACTCTTTTTTTGGAAATATGGACTTAATTAATTGGTCATTCAACGTGATTGACAAAATTTTCTCTACGATGAGAACGGAGAAGGGGGCTCCCACCTGTCCCGAGGGGACATTCGCATCGGGATATGCACTTGATTCTTGGGAGGTCTGGCGAATCGTGTGCCTCTCTCAGCTGTCCATCGAGGACGTGGAAGATTTGTGGATATTCGGCCTGATGATCACTGGATTTCTTCTGATTGGAGTGGGAGGATATCTGGTTTTCTGGAAATTTGGGAAGACGGGAGCGATTGGAGTGCGACCCGTACCCACGGAATGTGCCGCTCGTGCGGTGACCTCACAGACTGGGACGTTACTCGAGGTGAACCGTAAGCTGGACAATGTCCTTGCGGCGTTGCCTGTGTTAGTGCGCAAGATGGATTTGATCTCGGAGAGGGTCGCCGGACGATGCGGGGATGTGGAATGTAAAATTGGCTTCACTGGTGGACATGAATGACCACTTAGAGACTACAAGACGGAGGGGAAGATTATCTCTGTCTACCCTAAACAAAGTTATGTTTATCCTTATCCGACGCCATAGCAGCCTCTCAAGGCTGCCTCAACACACCCCCACAAAAGGAGGAATGCCGACAGATGCTGTGTCCCGACCTTCACCCTCTCCCTTCAGGCTATATCTGCAGGGACCTCAATGCGCTCTCTGTTCCTTATCTCTCCCTCCCACCTGTTGTTCTGCAGCTGGTCGATGCGCCGCAGTGGCAGCTCCCATTGGAGGCTTCAGGATCCCGCCCACCCCCACCTCCCCATTGGACTCTGATGTTGTACACGTGCTGTCTGTGCTTCCATGTCGGGTGTTTTTTTTGCATTGGAGTGCTACACCCTGCTGGTGTAACCCTGTTAATGCCTTTTTTTCCCCTCCCTGAACTTTCCTCATGTAACACCCTTTTCATCTAACTATTAAGGTAGCGCGACTCATGTTGCGAATGACCGCAGTCACCAATTCTTGTTATGTGTCTTACCCATGTATGTCTGATCTTTGAATTGTGTGTGCTGAAACTGAATTTCATTTCTCTGTATGTCCTGCACATGTGGAGAATATGACAATAAATGACTCTTGACTTGACTTGACTCTTGATATGATTTAAATGCAGTCCTCGTCTATACTGATGTTAGCCTAGTGAACTAGACCAGATTCTTGCTTTGCAAGGTTTGGTCTAGGAATGCTCCACTGGAACCTCTGCAGCCCCAACAGCATTCTGGCTGGCCAATCACAGCTCTCTAAAGGGGTTTCAAACACATAAAGAGCTGTGATTGGTCCATAATGGTGGGCCATTCATAGTGCTCTATCTGCTTAGTGAACAAATCACAGAGCTTTATCTGCTTTGTGGGCCAATCAGGGCACTCTACATGCCTGGTGGGTGGGATGATGCAACAGAGTGAAACAAGAGTATGTCACATTCATTGTCCAGTAGCATGCGGAGATCATTTGAAAGATAACGGTAGAACCCGCCCCACAACCGAGAGCCGTCAATGGAGCGTTGCCAGACTAAATAATACATTTATTTAGTCTGGCTTGCCAGGCTATACTGATGTCACACAGTGACTACGTTTATATGCAGCCAATATAAACGATCGGATTAAGGTCGGTATTTGGGTTTCTGAGTTGATCAGAATAACCCGTTTACAAGCATAAATAGAAAGAGTTACCCCTAACTTGCATAACCCGATGTAAATGCGGACGTTGGGGTAGCGTCAGGACGTATGGACTACGTCCAGACCGCAATATGCGTCATTTCCGGTTCTTCTCGTTCCGGTATCCGTGAAAACAACAACATGTTTCCCAGTTCGGAAGAGATAGCGACCGCGTTTGTTTGCGCTTTAGTTTCCTCGTCACTCCAAAAGTGTGGGGCTATGCCGCGACTCGCCATGTTGCTCCCAACTTGTTGTTTACTTCCGGTATTCTGGCGCATACAAGACATCTCGCTACTCAAAAGACCAAGATTCCTTGCGAACAGAGCATGCGCAGAACACATGCTTTGATGGGGATATCCCGATATGCGTTTACACGACCAAACATATGGGTTAGAAAAGGGTTACCCCAGGTGTAGTAACCGGGTTTTTAAAAACCCGGTTATGAGCATATCCGGGTTTTTGGCGGTGTTTACATGGACCTGCGGAACTGGCTTATTGTGAATATTCGGGTTTTAAAAGGGTTACTGGCTGCATGTAAACGCAGTGTCTCTTATCGTAGTTAGTGATGACAGTCATGTTGAATAATGATTCTAGTTGACTGTATTCTAGTCTGTAGTTGGGTCACAAAATTGAAACTTGACTCTTTCATCTCAAAATAAGACAATTTCCTCCTGTCGTTGGATTTTTCATGACTTTACTTTTATCCCATCGTCTTTTAGATCATCTTTTTGACGACAGATTTCTGAGGCCTTAAGTTACCTCTAGTGCTGCAGTGAATGAACAGGAACAAATCGAATAAAAGGCTCATCTTGCTGTTGGATTATTTTAAGATTTCACTTATTCTCAGCAGCATTTGCATTTTTTTTTCATTTCCTTGTGCAAAAGGTACATGGCTAGTAAGAGAAGGCTCAAAAATGAATCAAACAGTAATGATTCCTTTCTCTGGCTGCATTTCCCTCTTGCAGTACCCTCTTTAAAAATCCTGACTAATATGAAAATAAGTCGCTGTTATGTGTTGTAAAGTTGGTTCTCATTTGTGTTTTTACCCATAGTTCATTGCGGAGTTTGACTTGCGCTCTGTGCAGTACGAGGTTAAATCCTCCCGCTGCCATGAGATGCGTCTCGCTGCTCCGCCTCATGACTGCATTCGCTTCAACTTCCGCTGTGACCGAGAGGCAGAGGAGTGGGCCACTGTGGTGATGTCATCCCTGACAGAGGCACACAGAGGTCAGTTTGATTATCTAATATCAATTTACTCCCAGTTGCATGTTTTAAAGCACTTCTCCTGATTTTTTGTTCTGACAGTTGCGAATATCAACCTGTGTGAATCAGACGGCAAACAGAGCAGCACAGCAGCAACGGAGCAGTGGAGCTCAGCATCTCTGCCGCTCTGTGGTGAGCATCCCTCTTTATCGCCATCTGTTGCAAAATCCCTGCTCCAAGCATCCTACAAAGATGTGACTTTACTCACTCGTGGTTTTCAGAGGAGCTGTGTCTGGAGCTTGCCAGGGCGATTGAAGCGGGAGATGCTCCTTCGGCTTCCCAGCACGCTTCTGCTCTGGCTCGGCAGAAAGCCGTGCTGACGATACAACCGTCCCAAAAAAACTACGCCGACGGAGAAATCAAGTGAGGAGTTTAGAGAAGTTGAGGATAAAGTCCTAAAAGTTACTGTAGTGTTTAACTGTCAGTGAAATATTTGTGTTTCAGTCTGTCTGTGGTGGTCGAGGATGCTTCGTCTTCCTGTTGTGTCACAGTGAAAGTTTTCCCCTACATGACTGTGGCTGAGCTCAAAGAACAGGTGAGAACACGTGAAACTGCTTTAAAGAAACCAACGCTTGTTATTTAATACAGCTGTTCTTCAGGTCTTCCTGGAGTACGGTTTTCATCCTCGCGTGCAGCGCTGGGTGATCGGTCAGTGTCTGTGCACAGAGCCCAGATCGTTAGCCTCGTACGGAGTGCAGAAGGATGGAGATACGGCTTACCTTTACCTGATTTCTGCCCGTCAAGCCTGCATCACACGCCAGCTGTTCCAGCAAGACCTGGAGAGCGCTCTGCTTGTAACGCCTCTACCCCCAGGCAATGGCTCCTCCTCCCAGGACTGGAGGGGGTACAGCACCCTGCCCTCCAGACTCTCCCATGACAACCAGGGTGAGTTCGATAAATCCATCATGTCTCAGGCAGTGCAATGTTAAAACGTTTAGTCATTACAGTTTCATGTTGCTTTTCTGCTTTTGTGTGTGGCATTGTTTTAGCCATTTATGTCAAACTGGAGAAATAATTAGATTAATTGTGTCGTGTATCAATTTATCAGATTTATCTTCTATTGAAGCCCTAACTTTACAGCCAAACTAAACCACTGCTTCATCAGGCCAAAAACCTTTCTTTCGAGAAGGTTTTATAGTGAAGAAGGTAGATTTTTTTAGGCATATTCCAACATGAGCAGCTGCATGAGTTTAGTGAGCATATGCAGGCTGATTAAGCTGTTTTCGGGATTTGATAGATTCACAACCACTGTCCTTTCACAGTACAAGCCACTACCTGGTGAGTTTTGAAGAACAGTAATAAAATCATATAATATTCACAGGTTTATGTTCTTTTTTTAAAGCTGTTTGTCTGACATTTCTATCATTGTTGAAATAAATGATTTAATATTTTCATGACTTTATTTAATTTCTGTTACAGGATTTGCATTTAAAGACCAAGTTCGCTGAGAAACCAATGTTTACTTGTTATTTTTAAAAATATGATCAGTTTCATATGCAGGCTAAATGTGAAAATAGTCTTCTACCCCCATTTCCCGCATTAGCCGCCTAGAGAAAGTAGACGGGGAAACACTCGGGTCAGAAAAAAGCCACACAGATTTACGTCTCACTGAAAGTTGGCATTCATGGACTTACCCGTCTTGGCTCGCGACGGGGAAAGCTGTGGAACCAGGAGATAGCAGAGCGCATCTCGGCTAGTAAAAGCTAGTCATTAGCTTTAGCAACTACACAGCATGGTAGACCTCTTTCAGGCTTGTTATTTGTGGAGATAAAACGTCAGTTGTAGAGTCGTGCCGCTGTTAGCCAATCAGAGGCGAGATGTTCAAATATCAGGAAATAAGGCTCAAAACCCTGCCATGTTCTGCTCCCCTCTCTGGCTCGCTTCTAGTTCCTGAAACAGGAGCGCCAGAGCTTTTCTCCCAAAGAGATCGACTCACATTGCATCAATTTCTAGAGACCTCCGCAGACGTATTGAAAAAACAGGTGAACTTGGTCTTTAAAGGCAACTAAAATTTTATTTAATAAGCAAGCAGACCGAAATGTGACCTAATTACTAGATTTTCCATCCCATTATTCAAAACGTTGTTTTAGAGTAAAACTTGCAGTTATTTCACAGTTTTTAACCATGGATTAATTCGAACAGGTGCAGGAGGCGGGAATAACATCAAAGATGCGCTTGATATTGAGAAGCTTCAGTTAAACGATCACACCAACAAAGCCAGTAAAACACAGGTAATTAAAATACACTCCAAAAAGCTGTTTTCCCTCCAGTCCACCTAACTGAATGTTTTTACCCTCACCACAGACAGAGTGGGCGTGTCCTTCGTGCACTTTCATCAACAAGCCATCTCGTCCCGGCTGCGAGATCTGTGCCACCGCTAGACCTGACACACACAGCTGTAACCAGCAGGTATGCTGAGATATAGATCAGCTACATCTAAAACACTCCTTTTTGCATTTACCTTCAACACAATGTTCCCTGTTTTTGCTTTTCATCTCTAACTAAAGGAAAAAGGAAGGAGAGAGGATTGCAGAGAGTCTGGTTTGAGCAGCAGCTGACTGCCCATCATCGCTGTGTGGATTTTATTTCTCGCTAACTCACACACATGCATACACACACAGACAGTGAAACATACATGCTAACAAAATACTCATGCAGACAGTGGAGTGCACGGATACTCGTTTGCACGCCAGAGCATTGGAGGAAGCACGTGGAGTGAAGCTGCACCCGTCGAGGTTCAGATGATGAACTGCTGACAGAGAGTTATTTCCTGTTTATATATGGACAACATGACCATGACGTGCATCTCATTTGGCCAGACCACTTTTTTATTTATTTTAAAGGGTGTGTGTGTGTGTGGTGCAAAAAACAAACTGTTTGCTTTTTATTTTAGGAGAGAAAAGACGATGCCATTGTTTTTTTTTTTTCGCACCAAATTGGAGCAGAAATGGTGTCTGTGGCATCTGCTGAATGTGAAGTGAGGAGAAAGGTGAAGCCTTGTGCAATACCCTGTTCTGTTTGTCTCTCGTCTACGTTGTTGGTGCCAAAATATCACAAATGTAAAGTCAGGAAAAAAAAAACAGCAGAATGAAAAGAGGAAGAATTGTTTACAGGGTTGTCAAGTGCTTTTATTAGTTTTTTTAAATATTGTATTTAGTGTATTATTTTACCAAAATGCATCAAGTATTTAATGTATATTTCAGCCGGTGGTCTAACTGTACTTGAGTCCGTCTGAAGCTGTGAGAGCTGAAGAAAGATGTTTTCAGTACATAACCTAATTATAATGGAAGGAACCTCTGTCTGCACGTCTGTTTGTTGCCTTTTTTCTTACAACTCCTGCAATCACTTTTGTTCCTGGTTTCATACGAGTAAATACTTTTGTCTCACAGAGCTTTTTGAAATGATAAGCCAGATTTTAGTTTCATAGACTGTGCAAAGGAAAAAAAGGTGCAAAATTAAAATGCTTTAAAATGGTTTTTATGTCTACATGCTCCAAAAACTGGGGGTTGTATTCCATAAGAATTTGAGAAATGGGTTAGCTCAACGACCTGGGACTTGGCAAGCTGGCAACCCAATCTGGATTTCTTTTTTTTTACATACTGATGCAATATGTGGTACCTTCTCACTGAATTATGAAATTCCCTGACATACATTTGAATAGAAGCATGTCATTCCTCTGAAAGTGTGTAAAAAGCACATAAAACAGAGTTCCATGTAAACATATTTGTAGGTTTTTGAAGAAAATCAAAGCCTGATTTCTTTGAGATTTTCTGTTTAATATTTTTAATTAACTTTATTCACTGGCGGTTTCGGGAAGGACTTGAGCTCGATCAGACATTTCCACGAGTCTTGACTAACAGCTATAACCTTGTTTTGAATAGGTTTTTTTTTCTTTTTTATATTCCCATTTTTTCTAAATTGCTGAATTTGCCATTAGAAACTTTCAAGCTTCCAATCTTTAAATCCAAAAGCCTTTTTTTGGATAAAAAAAAAATATATATATATATATACATACATACACACACACACACACACACACACACAGTCTCACCTGGATATGATTTTTTTTTAGACATTGAATTTATGACATTAAATTGTTTAAACCTATAATACACCAGCAAAAATTTTACAGAATTTAACACAAATCTTTCATCGGCAAAAATTCAAAAACTGATGTGACCTCCTGGTGACGTAAGATTAAATCATTAATCGAGTTAAACGGCTTTTAGCCAATCAAATAATGCTTCTCTGATCACGTGATATCAGTGAAACGTTCACACTATTGCTTTGAATTGACTCACCTGGCGGTCACCTTGTTTGCTGATGAAATTTTTGCTGGTGAAATTTAGGATAAAAATATTTAAATACATAATTTCAGAGAATAATAATGTTATGTCTTTAAAAAAAATTAAATTTCATATTCTGGTGACTGTTTTCTTTTTTTTCTGGCACATTTTAAGCCACCAAAGGTCACCTGACAGATGACAAAAAAACAAGGATGAACAATTCCAGGTAAAGAAAAAAAACTGCAAGTAACGTCATACACGACAGTGAAATGAACACATTAGCCTAAGTTGTGGCAGATCTGTAGTTAGGTTGGTAGATTTTAAGCAATAATGTTTTTTTCTTGCCTCGATCTCCCACCCATTTAATTTTTTAAAAATAGATTTGGACATTTACCATTTTAATAGAATTTAGTTAGCTAATTAGACATTTTTTACTGTGCAGCTCATCTTTGGTTTAAAACGAATCCACTCATCTGTTTACATTCCATATTTTTATTTTTGTAATTTTAAATATAAAATAAACACGTTCAAACCAAAGTACAAAAATATATGAAGTGTTTAATGGCTGACTGACGGATGTAGATATACTGACATATTTTTATAATTAAAAAAAACAGGCCATGTTAAACTTTCTTCTTGTTACCATCCAGTTTGATAAATATAATTTAAAAATTAAAACAGTGCTGTATGTGTTAAGTACCAAAAATTTAAGAGAAAAACTTCAACAAAATACCGTTTTCCCAACAGTTTACATTTTCTTTACATTAATATCTCCCCATTCCCATTACATTGTTTTAAAAGTCACAAAACATATAAATCAATTTATTTCTGTTGAGTTGTAACCATTAAAAAAATTTAACTCCAGTGTTTGGAGAACCAAAAAAATGTGCAAAGAAAAGACAATCCTCCCTAAAAAGAAAAAAAGTTTGTTTTTCTTTTCACTTTACAGTGAATTAAGTGTTAGTTCTTCACATTCCTCCAAAACAATTCAACCTGAGATTATCTCAGAATATGGATGCACGGAAATCTTCGGTAGGCCAGCAGGCTACTTCCAGAAGAGGATGTTCCAAAAAAGCAGCCAACAGGGATAGACCATCAAGGCAATGAGTGGGTAGACCAGAGACCCATACAAGTAGTGGTCTAAAATGCCCTGTGAAATGACTGAAAGGTACAGCATCCAGCCATCTTGAAAGCTAACAGGCATTTCCTGGAGCTCTTGGAAGATAAAGACGGAGAACAGCAGAGTGAAGGCTGGGCTGAGGATCACCAGGACGACAGCTGAAAGAAGCCTGAAGTGGGGGGGGGGGGGGGGGGGGGGGAAATATGTTTTAGTGATAATCTTTTACCTTAGACAGACTGGAGCATAGAGGAGTGACCAGTGTGCAGGTGTATTACTTAGGGACATGTGGTGTGACAAAAGAAGCCACAGGCACCAGGGTGAGAGCCAGGATGAAGCCCAGGGAGAAGTTGATGAGAGCGGTGCATCCCAGCAGAACAGCCAGGTACAACACGGCGACGAGCTTCAGCACCCTCCAGCCCTGCTCTGTCCCCTCACCAGAAATCAGCCTGCAACACATGACTGTGGTTTACCAACACTAAAAGGTGCACATGTTCCTGGCAAGAAGACATGTTGCTCAGGATCTTAACTTTTTAATGTCCAGCTGGTTGTGCAAAAAACAAAACATAAAAAAAAACTTATTAAAGGTTCTTTATGATGCTATTTTAAATCTTTGAGAACAAAGGTAAGCACAGAATTTAATCAAATATTACCGTTGGCACTACTGACATGTCTATTTATCTATACAAATACGAGTTTTCTTCATCAGCCTGAATTTATACTCGCTTTGTTTCAGTGAAACTCCACCCAAGCCCGCTCTGGTAAAACGTGCCTACAACAGCCTCTTCGACGAGCTGGTTGCTGTATTGACTATGGTAGTCCAGAGATAAAGGTGTCTTCCCGCCGTCTCGGTTTTGCCATGTGCTGACGTGAGTTTGAATCCCGGTGGTGTCGGCAATAATTTACTTAGCCAGCTGAAACAGATTCCACATTTTTATATTTTAGTTTTACTGATTATTTTATGCAAAATATGTTGGGTCACTAAAAATCTTTGAATTTGGTCATTTCCAAGCAGAGTTTTATTTGATTTACTCTGCTCACCTCACATGGACTCACACTGGCTAAATAAACAAAGAAACAAAAAATATAAATCATATTAGTCTTTATATTTTAAACAGTTTACCGATAAAGGATTGAAAACATCATACTGGCAAGTGCAGCAAAAAAAGAACAAAGTTACTGCAAACCTGCATGCCAGCCTAGCACGCCAACCACTAGACTACCAAGTCTGTTACATGACACTTATCGCCTATGCCACATATCCTGAGCTGGCCTGGGAGGTTTCACACCAGAGACTAGCTTCCAGGGGAGGAGCAGGGCTCGTTGTTAGGAGCAGGGAAATGGAGTTCAACTTATACCGTACATTAGGCAATTTCAGGAATTTCAAAATAAATCATGAATGCAGTCAAAAACGGGTTTGAGGTTATTTTCATGCTAAAAAGCTCCAAAAAGTGGATTTTCCATGATATGGCCCCTTTAAAAGAAGAAATGTTAAAAATTACGCAAGAATTAAAAAGCAAAGTTGTCTCTGCCAGTACCTGTGTGTGTTATGAGGCAAAGCCAGGCCGCCTGTGTAAACAGCAATGGCTGTCAGGACAACGGCTTCCGTTTCAGAAACCTGGAAGTGTTCAACCGCCATCTCCTGGAAACGAACAGGCAGCATGTACAAAGCTGCTCCTGTCAGGTGGCTGATGACCAGAGGAGTCAACACCGACAGCACCCCCGTACTGGACTGTGGGAAAAGATCATCATTAAACAATATTTGATTTAAAAAAAAAAACAAATGTTTTATATCACTTTTTTTTTTTTTTACATCCAACCTGTTCTATATCAGCAACACCATCCTCATTTCTAGACGGTGGAGTCGCAAGCTGAACCCACAGGTCTAAAGCCTGAGGCACAGTCAAGGTGTAAAAACGAGGATCGCAGAGCCTTGATTTAATCAGTTAGAACTTTTTTTTCTCTTCTGGAAACCTTCACCTTAGGTCAGCTGAAAAGGAGTGAGGAATTATGATGCAAGGATACGCGAAGTAGTAAAATAACAGCAAGGAGGCCAAAGGCTGGCATGTAGTATCCGATAGAGACAAAGTGGGACAGCGACGGCATGAGATAGAAGAAATATGACTGGTGAAGACGCTCCAGGAGGTTGTTCAGCTTACGATACATCCCTTCCAGCAATCTAGGAGACAAAAGACACAAATACTGTATATATAAATGTGCTTTTGTAATGAACAAAAAGTCAGGACTGAATTATTCAAAATGCAACTATTGCTGCATTTGAGGTCTGCAAAGAACTTTCAAACTTTGTTCTGATTTGGGGTTTTGACAAAAAAAAAAAAAAAACTTTCACAATAACTCTAACCGGCCAACGGTGGTGGCATCGGTCTTGTACTGTCGGAAGCTGTTGATGCCCTTGATGGTGGCGGCCTCTATGTGGTAGCGCAGAAATAGTCCGTGATCTCCCCAGGATCGCCCACTGGCCTGCTTCATCACCATAAGCATCATGGTCTGGACTGCATGGCTGTAGCCTGACACGCTGTCCCAGTCGTTCCTCTGAATCTGCAAAGGCATTCACAAATTAAAGCAGGTCACCTCACTGGTCTGCTAACTAAATACCGCACACATGTTCACAAGCCTTTACCCTGCCCTGAATGGTGCACAGGACTCCGATCTTCTGACAAAAGGCATAGAAGAGATTTGCTAAATCCAGGTTGGGTAACTGGCCATTGAGGCCTTCCAGTACTATGTCCAAACTGGTGACGACATCACTGCTGAGCTCCAGGGACAGCGCCGCCTGGATTGAACCGCCACGGCCTTGCAAGGGAGACCAGTCCATTCCTAGAAGAACCATAAAACAAGAGAAATAAAAATATACAGCCTTTTGTTTTCTGTTTCAACATAGTCAGGAATTAATGTGAATAGTCACCTGTGGTGTTGGTGTGGTGGTAGCCCTCCAGCCAGGCCTGCATTCCAATCAGGTCGTGCTCGTTCACAAGAAAGATGATGTCCTTGGCCCAGAAAACTTGATCTAATACACAAAATTAACTGAACCAAGAAATGCAACAGCAGCATCGTTCCAGTGTTGGCTAACTGTGCCAGAGATGGCAGCAGGTGCTGGACTTACTTCGGAAGTAATGAGCCAAGCCAAGCAGCAGTCCCACAGCCTGGTTGTTGTCATCGCCAGGGCTACAGGGAGCACTGAGAACCAGCGCTTCAGTTCGGGGAGCTCTAGGTGCTCGAAGGATCCCATAAACATTTGTACCTTCCACAATCTGAGAAGAAATGTTGCAAATAAAATAAAAAATCATGTATGCATATGTGCAGAACAATTATATGTGATTTCCTGCCACAAACGTACATATCTTTCATTGTTTTCATCAGGGAAGGGTAGTGTACGAGAGAATCTCTGTGTGAACACCTCCAACCCTCTAGCTTGCATGGTTTTCACTAGCCAGTCCACTGGCATCCCACTGCAGAGACACAATGTTATAAGAGTCTAGTGGAGTGTGAAATTGTTGTTATTAGGCTGGCGCAGAGGTTTAATAAAAAGTCAAAAACACACCCAACTTTCTTCTTGTGAGCACCAAACTCTTTGGCTGTGGCCAGAGCACGTTCCCCTGCAGGGAAGCGCTCCTCCACCATGGTGGATCCCATGGCATTCTCTGACATGTAGGTTCGCAAGGTGAAAGGCTCGAATGACAACCCCATGAACCAACACACAGCAGCAAAGTAGCACAGTACACTGACAGGAAGAGGTGAGAGATGATGATGTATAATGCAAAATACTGAAGAATTGCTGTAATATCAGTTATAAAGAATCTCCCGGTATTTGGCACATACCAGATTGGAGCGTTGAGGCGGGTCAACAGGCTGATCAAAGCCCGTCTTCTGTTAGGGTCAGACAACAACCCCATGTTGGGCGGCTTTGATTGGAGCTAGAAACCTGGATCCAACCGGAAGCTCTAAAGGATGCACGCAGGCAAACAAGAGTAATTAAAATTATACGTTAAATTGACCGATAGTTGTTGTTGCTAAAAGGAATAAAGACGTGTTTATTAAAATGGTCCCAGTTTCTATATTAATTTAGTTTTCCATAAATAATAGTTGGGGTTATTTCTGCCATTCATTGTCAGCTGAGGTTAGCTTCCTGCTAGCTGCTTGACAAGCAGGTTTCTCAAAACTAAAAACGTCCGAAATCGTAAACCTTAAAAAATGCATTATCATTTCAATGACACAAATGTAATTTTAAAGGTAAAAATAAATACATCAGTCTAGTGTTCACATTCACCTGCAGAAGTAGGGCTTGATCCGAACGGGAGCGGTCTAAACGTCCGCGTTCCCAGTTCCTGTGGGAAGGCTAATGCCGCGGACCAACTTCCGCCCAATAAAAGAAAATAAAACTTTAAAAATGCAAGTAGTTTTTACATTTTAAGAAAATTTTAAAATAATAATAATGAATCCAAAAGAACGCGTTAACCAAATTTGGGACCGATGGTTATAAAAAGCAAACATTGCAAATATTTTCCATTATTAGTTTTGCTAATTGTATCTGGATTTTAGAGACCACAAAATAAATTATATTAAATTTCAAACACTAAATTAATTTTTTACTCTAAATACTTAGGCACCCCCACTTTTGATATGCATATTTCCAATGAAAGTTTTTATAACTTGTGGACACAAAATAGTGTGCACACATTAAAATTAATAATAAAAACACAGCAAGATTCCCTGAAAATGCACATTGTAATAAATGTCAAAAATTTTAAAGGCCTGACAAACATTTGAGAATCCTAATCAAATACACCAGTTTAAAACTCCCTAACCATTTAGACAGATTTGTTTGAAAATAATAATAAAGAACATTTTTTTAAATCTCCAGCTTTACAAGCTGCCAGTCAACTTCAGGGTTTTTGTCAAGATCCTGGTCGTTTTTAGGCCCTTACATGAACAAGCACATTCATACAGTGGTGATCTTCTTAATCTCTACATCCCCAGCAGGTTCAGTGATCAAAGTCTACTGGTTGTACAGCGCACCAGGCTAAAGACCAAAGGTGACAATGATTTGCTGCTGTAGACCCCAGACTCTGAAACTCTCTCCCCCTGAGCCTGAGATCAGTGGACTCAGTGGTCTCCTTCAAAAAGAAGCTGAAAACTCACCTGTTCAGGCTGGCTTTGGTGTTACCTTCATCACTCCCTCTCCTTATTCTGCTCTACCAACTCCACCTCTCCCAGGATCCACTGATTTTCTTCTTTCTTATTCATTTTCTCTTTCCCTTTCCTTTAATCACATATTTTTTCTCATTTTAACCATATCTTCTAATCATTTTATCTATTAATATTTAAAATGTATTTTTCTTGTGAAGCAACTTGTGATTTTTATCATGAGGCGCTATATAAAAGATCATTTTCTTTCTTTCTAATAATTACTATTAATGATCTGTTATTCAGAGTTAACAGAACTAACAGAGACTACATGTCTATCGAACAAGAGTCAGGAGAAAAATCAAAGAGAAGATTTCCATTCACACATTTATAGGTCTGGTTACAAAAGGATAAAGAAATGCAATGAAATATTATAAAATAAAGAAAGAGTTCAGAGATTCTCAGTCCAAACGGGCTCCACTTCATAATTCATTACTCTCCGGTGAGCACCGATGCTTCTTGAAGATGCTGCCTCACCACCTCATCCAGCACCTTGCTCACACCTTTACAAGCTGTCGTTGCAGATTCAATCAGTGCTTCCAGGTGATCCTGATGCAGCCTGGCGTCCATCTGAACCAGAGCAATCTGTCCTCCCCTGGGAAGCAGCGCCAACGCCAGAGAGCTGACTCCTCCGCTCTCCTCGGCGTAGCAAAGGTCAGCGAGGGGAGTCTCATCCACAAAGCCCACGGTGCAGGCGCACACGTAGTCTCGCATCGGGATGCCAGCATCAATCACAGCCAAGGTGGCTGCATTAACACACACACTGTAGTTCCCACCATCTGACTGCAGAATCTGAAAAATACAAAACATCTTCGTGAAAAAAAGGAACTGCTGTCTTTATTAACATGAAAAGAGAAACTTAAAGAATCTAAGATGCACCTTGACATAAATGTCTATTTGAGAGCGCGGGAAGAGCTGGGTCATCACAGCAGCTTCAAACGTTTGCTTCAGGTGGAGACTCATCTCGGTGGATTTACGGTCTCCGTGCGGCCTCCTCTTCCTTTCTGCGGTGCTGAATGTGGCCATGCTGTACTGGCAGTTAATGACGGCTCGATCGTGGAGAGTACGACTTCTTGAACCTCGCATCTAGAGGGAAGAATGAGATGAAGAAATACAAAAATAATCACGACTGGACTTGTTTGATTTTAACATAATTCCTAAAAATATGCTAATAGAACTAAAGTAAAATAAAAAAAAATATCTGGATGTTGAAATGTCCATTTTTTTCAAGACCAGGAGTCCCTAGGTTTCTGGAAATATGTGCAACATTAGATTTAAGTTTCTATTATTATTATTATTTCTCAACTGTAAGGTTACATCGACAAATACATTTCTGGTGGGTTACCACATTTGAACTTTGATTTCATATTTATAACTAGTGATTTGCATTCATTATTCTTTCATTCGCTCCAGTGTATTTCTAATTTAACCTCCATGCTGTAGCATTCTGCTCTATCACGTCTGATGCACAGTAAACATTGTAAAATATTATTATGATCTCACTTTATTATACAAACACTAATAGGCGCGCAGATGTTGTTAAATCTAATACTAGGAAACATATAGTACCGCCTTTATATGGTTATGTTATGAAGTCCTCCAAACATTCGTGACGTTACATACCTCGTGCGGACCGTAAACCACAGCCAGAACTTTGGTGTTTCCCTGTTCCAGGTAAGCGGAACCGTCGGCCTGAGCGAACACACCCAGGCGAGCCTGAACTTTCCGCAGTTCGGTGGCTTTCCTTCCATCCAGGCGGTATCCCTGGTCCGACAGCAGCTCGATGCCCGCCATGTTTCTGCAAACACCCGCCTCACGTGTTCAACGCTGCACTACATTACCCAACAGCCTCTACCAGGGACAACGGCAAGCTCAAAGCGGGGGGAAAAAAAGCGCACGAACGTTTCCGTTCCATCCGTCCATCCTTTTTCTGACATCTGGATGGATGGATGATCTCATTTAAGTATAATAATATAAATAAATATCTATGAAAATATAAAGTCAAAATTCAAAACACAACCACTTTCTACATTTTATTTTTTATATTTAGAAAACAAATTCTAAAAAAGGGTTTCAATGATCCAAAACCAGCAGATTTTGAATTCCTGCAGCTGGTTTCCTGGTTTGCACATTTTCTATTACCCTGCCCATATTTCATTATTAGGTTTCCATTCATGCTCTCACTCCTTGTGAACGTTCTGCTTCAGTCTTTTACACAATATCTTTTAAAGGCGGTAAAACCAATTCAGTTTATAAATAAAGGGAACACATGAACACATCCTAGATCAGAATGAATGAAATATTCTTAATACTTTGTTCTTTACATAGCTGAGTGTGCTGACAACAAAACCATATAAGAATTATCAATAGAAATCAAATTTATCAACCCATGGATATCTGGATTTAGAGCATCGACAGAATTAAAATGTATAAACACACTACAGGTTTGGGCTGGGCAATAAATCGAAAATTTATCGTCATCGAAATTTCAGACTCTTATCGAGATAATTTTTCCCATGTCAACAAATTTAATAATAAAATAATGAAAAGATGTGTGTAGGTTGGCAACATTCCTGTCCCTTTAAGATGCCGTACCACCTGGAGTCAGGTAAAAATGTGACTAAACGTGATACACGTGACAGCCCCATCTAGTGGACCACTCTTGTTTCTGCGCATACCTGTAGTTATCATCCATTTATCGTTATCGAGGTGAAATCCTCAATACATCATGATATTGATTTTAGGCCATATCGCCCAGCCCTATAGGCTGATCCAACTTTGATGTAATGGTCTCACAAGGGGTTTGATGATCTCATCTTGGTACCTAATGGCAGTCAGGCAGCCTCTGGCGAGCACATGGAGGGCTGAGCTGCCCACATCCTGTTGCTGAACCTAGACCTGACCAACTGCAGCAACCCCAGATTATGGTACTGCCCCCACAGATTTGTACAATAGGAACTAAGTGTGATGGGTGCATCACTTCATCTGCCTCTCTTCTTACACTGACGCACCCATCCCTCTGGAACAGGGTCCATCTTGACTCATCAGACCAGTTCTAAACCCAGTTTCTGCAATCTCCTTAGATGTTTTCTATGCTTGATGCATGCCAATGATTTCTTTTCCACGACCACCAGATGTGTCTTTACACATGATTTAAGAAATGGGAAGCAACTCATTGTACCAGTTGGGGTTAAATAACTTGTTGCCAGCTGAAAGATAATCACCCAGGCAGCAATTATCCAATAGGAGGCTCTACTGTTTGCTTGGTTAAATGCAGGTGGCGACATTTTTGGGGTGGTGGGCAGTGCATGTGTTCTTGCTGTACCACCCTTTTCTCTTCATTCTTGTTAGTCTGCTTTACTGCTGTTGCCTGTTACACCAAAATTTCCCCACTTAGGGGGAAAATTCAAGATCAAGTCTGCAAATGATCTTAAGCAGTCCTAGTGAATTACAAAATAACCACAAAAATTAAAAATAGCAGAAATATTATTTTTTCTTAAAGAGCAAGTCACCTCCTAGCAGTCTTACTTCACTCCCACTTCTTGCTTAAAAAAATGCAACAAATGCTGTTGCCTGGCAGACTGAGGGCGGAGCCCCTAACAAATACAGGCACACACAGGCGCACAACGGCATTGTGACATCATATGGTATCAGCTAACGTCATAGGGTACCGTTTAGCCAATAGTGATGGCAGATTTAAATTTGAATGCAGAAGAGGGCACAACACCAAGAGTTATAGGCAGAATATTAAATGTTTTTAATTTAAATTTAAATCGCCCTCTGCCTATTCTACACAGAGGCCATTAAGACGCATTGGCATGGCTGGCCAGGCTGTGACCCAGGTTTAATGACCAGAATCACAATGAACACATTGTCAAACTTCCACCCTTTTAAAAATAAAATTTATTAGCATCTCTAATGTGTATAAATAAAACCAAATATGTAACAAAGCATATATGTATAATGTCATGAGCGTAACAATAACAGGGTTGCATGTGATTCAAAGGAGCAGTCTTTAGTTTAGCCAGTGTTTTGTTGGAAAATTTTAAATCAAGCATCAATGCGTAAATCTAGAAGTTTCCAACATATTCTTTGATGGGGAGATGATGGGTAAATATGATTTTTTTGCCTTCTAAGGATTTCACAATATCTTTCCTTTCATACATAAAAATATTTAAGAATTTATTTATTCTTTTGAGGTTTAACTGTTAATGTTAAAACTTAAAGCCTCAACCCTATTCACAACAGCCTTCTCACCTTTACAAAACTAAATAAAAATCCACAATGGACTTTGTCTTTTTCTCTTATAGTTGCATTAATCCAGAGAATAGTAAAAAAAAAAAAGAGTTAAAGGATTCCCAAAATCTAGGGAAAGTTGTTCTAACGTTAAAACACAATGTAAAAAAAAAAATAAAATAAACATTAAGATAGCAAATGAGAAAACTTTACATGTATTAAACAGACCCAAAGTGGATCAACCAAGGACGTGGATATGCATTTAACTAATGCAAGGCTTGTCGACTTCTGCAATGGCTTGCCTTGTCTGGGTCAGAATTCCAAAAAGACAGTGAAAGGATGTTTTTGTTGGGGGGTCTAAGGACTCAGCTCTCCTAAGGCAGAAAGCAAAGAAAGGGAAGGACCTCTCTCCAGCTGCCCAGAATTTTTCGTTTGAACCCTCACTGTGATAAAATGTCTTAAAAAACTGACAGTTTTGCACACACACACAAAACAAAAACCCTACGTTTATGCTGGCTTAAACTAAACTCAACGTGGGTCTTTAAGTACACACACCACTTATGACAAATGGGAAAACACACAACCCACTCAACTGTGTGCCAAACAGCCAAAAGAAAAATCAGCTATAGTGGGTGGACTGTTATTGGCCAGAGGTTTTCCGCATACATACATAAAAAAAAAAATCACATTTTTGTTGAAAACAAAAACAAAGACTAACGGCATTCAAAAAAGTAAAATGAAGAAAAAGGTGATGTGTCTGCTTTAATACGCAGGTGATCACGACGGTGAGGAGTTTACCGTTCGACACTCGAGGATCACGGGGACCTCATTCAGCCTTGAGGAATGAAGGGACTACGTAGATCTGATAAAAGATGGTCTCTGCTCCATCCCAGGTCTTTTTGAAGAGTACAAACATCCCCTTATTTTCCCTGATATATCCATGTTCTTGTGTTTTAAAACTCGGCAAACTCTTTTGCGCATTTTTCCGTTAAAGAAACACGGATCTCCTCCTCTTCGTAGTCGTCGAAGTTGCTGGTGTCCCCGGGGCCTTTGCACTTTGGTATGAACGGAGCTTCAACCTGTAAGACAAAAGGGAAATCCAGTGTCATGGATTTCTATTGAAAGTTTAAAATATATTATTTGTGAATTTAAAAAGAAAAAAGTGAACTGTTTATCTTTTTTTTTCCAGATTTGTCAATCCAACATCATCAAATCAATATTTAATAAAGGTTTTTAATCTGTGGCGAGGAGACGGGCGTTTGGTGTTCATGTACAAACTAAAAACCCAAATGGTCAGCCCTCATCAGGTTAGCTTTATTGTTTCTGTAAAATTTGTAGCTGAAGAATGAATATCATGGTATTTTTTTTTTTTTTTTTTGGCTATTTCATTCATATAGATTTAGGGTTGTCACGGTAACCGGTATAGCGGTAAACCCCGGTAAAAAGGTTGACAATAAAAATAACCGTCCAGTTTTAAAAAAACTATATTATCTCGGTGGGTTTACCGTGGCCGCGGTTTCGGCGCGGTGACCCTTACCAGCCACCGTCGCTTCAGCTGAAGTTCCCGCAGCGCGCACACGCACTTTTTAGTTTGCAATGGCACCAAAACTTTGAAGCTGAAATAATGGCCGAAGGAGGAGACGGCAGCACCCAGGACATCCATCAGCCCTCAAAGAAGACTAAATCGGAAGTATGGGCATATTTTGGATTTCTGAAAATTGCTGAGGGACAGTTAATAGAAGACTGCTATCCCGTTTGCAGAACGTGCAGGAAACAAGTGTCTGCAAAAGGCAGCAACACTTCGAATCTAATGGCACATCTGCGTGACCATCACCCACGTCTCTACAGCCAGTGCAAGGTAAGTTAACATTAGCATTTTAGCTTAAATGCATGACGTGAGGACTTTTGGTTGAGGGAGAATGCAACGAGTCACTATATACTGCAGCCGCAGCGTCCTCTGCCAGCATTTAAACCGTGTCACGGACACCCTGTTGCTGGATGAAGCATCTTATTTGTTGATGATGAAGAGAAATATACGATTGGTTCCTTGTCATTGATTTGTTTACTTATTCAATGCCATTTATACTTGAACATTTGGATTTGATTACATAGTGTAGTAGTTATTTTAGTAATTTGTTTAAAGTGGCTATTTATTTTAAATACATATATTTTAAGGTTGACTTGTACAGTGCTCAAGTCAAGTGTGGACTGGAGTTTTAGATTTTCATTTTGATAATGAAGAAAACAAGTATATGAGAAAACAAGTGGTGTTTCTTTGATTTGTTTACATATTGTTTATGTTTTGAATGTTTGGATTTGTATAATTTAACCTGCACTGACTACTGTAACATGTTCCAGAAAAAGAAGCTATTTGTTCCTTTACTTGTGAAAAGTTGCACTTTTGCTAAGGCTTTGTGTTATTTTAGGTTTAATAAACACTGTTAAACCTTTTCAAAACTATTTCAGTTTGTGTAGAACAGGACTATCAATGCTTTCTGAACATATGCAACACCGTTTAAAAAATACCGCGATAATACCGAAAACCGTGATAATTTTGGTCACAATAACCGTGAGGTTAAATTTTCATACCGTGACAACCCTATATAGATTCTGTTTCTTTCTCTATTTTAATCAAATTCAAAATTACTTTATTGATCCCAGAGGGAAATTAAATGTTGGTGTAACTCGTGCATTAATACCAATGGAGTAGAGGAGCTGTTATTTTATAAAGAAAAATCTTAATCAGGAAGAAAAATTGACCACGAATGAAAAATAACCTTGATTTTTTGTTCCCAATTCACAAAATAAAGCCATTAATGTATTAATTGCACATTTAGCTAACATTTTTAATCTAAATGGCAAAGTCCAGATTTAGCCAATAGCGTTCGACATCTGCTTACATGAATATCGATCAGAGAGCGTACATGCATGTTTGCGGAAGTACTTGGACTGATGCAGTGTTGGCAACATTTTGTATGGACAAGTTAGTCTTTTAAAAATGAATAAGCAGCATGATGTAAAAATAATGTTTGTAAAACAATGTATTTTAGCTCTGTTGGCTGTCTAGAGGTGTACATTCACGAATGAGACGCGTAATCACGGAAGTAGGGAGAGGGGCTAAATGGGCGCAATGCATTATTCTGCCTCTAGAGGGTGTCCTTATAGAAAAAACTCCAGATTCGTGTTTTAAAAGTGTCTGGCGTCTTGCCTTTCGCTCGTAGATTGCGATCCAGTCTGTTGTAGCGAACCATTTGTGACCCTTGATGTCATTGACTCCGTTCTTTAGGTTGCCGTAACGTTTGGTCAAATCCACCTGGAGTAAGTTTCTCAACAGATCCTTCAAATCAGAGCTGAAGTGGGAGGGGAATCGTACCTAATAAAAAACATTTATGGAAACTTGAGATTAGTAATTAATCTGTGTGCGCGCGCGCGCGCGCACGCACGCACGCACGCACACACACACACACACACACATTGGAAATAACAGAAAGAAAAGACCATGGAAAACATCTAAGAAAATAAATCTCGCTTACCTTTCCAGACACAATCTTTTCATAGATCTGAATCGGCTGATCTGCAAAAAACGGAGGGTAACCAGCTGCCATCTCATAGATGAGGACTCCGAGGGCCCACCAGTCCACTGCTTTGTTGTAACCCTAAAACATGTAAAGCAATAACTCAACACTTCCCCTGCTCATTATTATAAAATATGATACTTCCTCACTGAGGACCCATCAAACTCTAGAAAATTCTTTCAAATGATTCCTACATCTTTGATAAAAAATAAATACATTAAAAAAGCTAAAATAATCTGTTTTAATTATTAAACAATATATTTTATATCCCTACAGTAGTTTTTTTACAGCCCACTTACATCATCAGCTCACATGATCTGGACTTCTGAACTTTACTTTCCTCCAAGCCAATGATGAAGCTAACCTTCAGCAGTGTTTTGCACAAACTGCAGCTTCCCCCAAAACCTCCCCTGCTGCAGCCCCCACAAAAATCAGAGTTTGTTCCAGATATTTACATGAGGTGAGGTAGCAGATGTGTTTCACTTTGATAAGAGCTGCAGAGACGACAGAGCAGCTCAGCTGCTGAGGACCTGACTTGTGAGGGGGTCATTCAGATATGTCTCAGTTACTTTTGATGTAAATATGAATTTAAGTATTATTTCATTATTATTTTAAAATGAAATCTAGGTAGTTAACTGGAGCCAAACACAATCACCATCAACAATACAGTACTGAAAGAGGTATGTGTAGCTACAGGCAGATATTTAAATTCAGATATTGAAATCAAAACACAAAAAGGTAGATCAGTGCAGCATCACAACTATCAATATTTTAAAAATCTTAAGTTCAAAGACCAGAAAATTGTCTCGAAAGTGATCATTAGTGACTCTTTTGGCTTTTAAGTTTAGGGGATAACAGTGCTGGTTTGTGGGAAAAACACAGCATTCACTAATTTTCCATTTGTGCTTCAATGGGACACCAAAGATCAGACACAGATGTTTGGTGATGCTGAATGGGTTTGACTTTCAGAAAAAAACTTAAAAATGTTTTTATTTCTGAGAAAATTGTCTTTTCAATACAAAATGACCCCAAACTAGAATGGAGTGAAAAATAATAAGGTCAAATAAATTTGAAGGTCTTCAAAAGGATAATGTTACAAGTGAAAACAGATATAATCTTACAAACTCTACAGTTTTGGGGCCGTGAGACTAAATTTAGAGGCCGACCGATATGTTTTTTTTTTTAAGGCAGATGCCGATACCAATTTTTAAAGACTTTTGTTGCCGATGGCTGATATCTAAAGCCGACTATTAGGGTGATATATATACGTTTTAGCAGCACATTGATGGTGAAAGCCAACTGAACACTCATTGTGTGCAATATAATTTAAATAAGTCAATAAGTCTCTTAATATTAATTCAACTTCAAATATACAACAAACTCAAAACATAAAAATAAACCAGTGTGTTGTGGTTCTTCGAGTCTTTTCTTCAGTCTAGTAGTGGCGGCAGTTGGCCACACAGGTGCCTGATTTTTTATTTATTTATTTTTAATCGGCTTTTATAAATAATTTCGGACAATATAGAAAAAATTTAATATGTCGGCCCGTTGTAACGGTCGGCCTCTAACGCAACATCTCATCTGTTATTTTTTATAATGAAACAAAACGATCCAATAAGAGCGCTGACTCTAGAAAATAACTGAATTAAACCTCTTTCAGAGGGGATTTAGTAAAAGTTCTGTCTGTTGTCACTTAGCTCAAAATGTATTAGGTAAAAAAAGATTCCCCAAAATAAAATTTAATTAAAATAAAAGGTGGAGTTCAGGAATTTATATTTTTTATTTTTACACTACTAAAATGGAAAAAGTAAAAAAAATCCATACTTTACTGAGAATGATTTCAGGTGCCAGATACTCCGGCGTCCCACACAACGTCCAGGTTCTGCCTTTTACTCGCTTAGCAAATCCAAAGTCTGTCACCTGGAAGTGAGAATGACAAATTTAACTCTGCTTTGTCAAATGCAAGACGCATTTTTAATTCATGTCTGGCATTCCATCTGACCTGAATGTAGCCGTGGTGATCAATGAGAAGGTTCTCAGGCTTCAGATCTCTGTAAATGAGATCTAGCGAGTGTAGGTATTCAAACGTCAGCACAATCTGGGCAGCATAAAATCTTGCATGTGGTTCACTGCACAGGGAGAATATACAAAAAGACCGTGTAGCTATTAATAAACATTCTACGAGACAGATTAACCCTCTGGGGTTCATGGACTCGTATCTGCGTCTTGTGAACAGGTCTGATTTGGGACGCTGTAGCAGCAAGACTCCACCTCCCCGAGTTACAGTTTGAATCCAGGTTTGAAAAGGAGATCATAAACTTTACCCCAGTTTTTTAATTTTGTTAATAGGCCAGGTAGGTATAAGCGGATTTATACTAAACTAAAGAAACAACCTTTTTTTTTAGACAATCAGAGAAGTTGTGGAAACCGCAATCATGAGCTGTCAAGGAGATCAGTAAGCTGTGAGACAGACACTGACGGAAAATTGTAGATATTGGAGCACTCTGTGGCAAAAAATGTATTATTCATATGTAGTTGAGTGGGTTTTTATGTATGAATGAGGATGAGAATGATGAATGCCCAGCAGCTCAGCCGTTTTTTAGCTAGAAGACAGGAGTGTGAGACTCGCTGGAGTCTGACACCACATTGAGGGTTTTGATGATGATGTGGCAGATCAATCCTTCCTCTTAGACACTGAAAAGGAGAAGCTGGGTCATAACAAGGAATATGAGGTCCTGGCAGGCACAGAAGAGCTGCTCAAAGATAGAAAGAGAGGAATGGGCAGCACCGTACTGCACCGGAGTAATTTCTCTGTCTCCAGGCAAAACCCCGCCCCCTCTGTGATGCTTGTAAGACAGAAGAGGGACTAAAAGGTTTGTCAGGAGCAAGCTGGTTTTAACCATGGAGAAAAACAGTCAAGATATTCCTTCCTTAGTCCAAATGATCTCTTCTATTGTTTTTCTTACATGGAGAAGTCAGGCCTGATGTGCTCCTCTGCTTAGTGGACAGAAACTGCTTCTTGGAGTGGCACAAATAAACGGAGTTATCTTGGAAAACAAAAATATCCAATTCTTCTGTAAATAGTAAATATTTGTTCAAATATTTATGAGGGATTGGCATAATTGTAACTTATTTTGGCACAATTATATATTTTTTGGCATCTTTTTGATCCGTGTGAATAATTGTAAAAAGACAAATGAACAATTTCTTTCCTTTTACTGCTAATAACTTTTATAAAATGCGTTATTTGCTATATTTATTCATAGATATAGTCTAGATTGCCATTATAAATTATTAAAAAACATTAATCATACATGTCTGTGGGTTTCACAGTAAAAAAAAATCACTTTTTTCCAACTCGGATTTTGTTTGAATGACTTAAAGCTGCTTTCCGGAGTTTTCCCTCTTTCAGAAATTATGTATGATTTGTCAGAAATCTGTAAACGTGATTATATTATCATGTACTGTGATATAAGCATTATGTCTTTTTTTTTTTTGCTAAGCACGCCCCCTGCCCAGCAGACAGAAAATAGCAATAGAAAACTGAGCACCGACCAGAACTAACCAATAGCGTTAGACTACCGCTTAGATGCTTCAAATTAAAGGAATACCTCGGCTGATGCAGAGTTGATGAACTTTTCACAGACAAGAAAGTCTTTAGAATATAAATATATGAAAACACAACATGACATGAGAATAATACTCGTAAAACAACGTGTTTTAGCTCTGTTTGTCGGCTACAGAAGCACATTTATAAACAGAAACGTGAAGTTGCCATCTTAAAAAACAGAGGAACAGTGGTTTTGTGTGATATGCTTGTCAGCCACTCGATGGCACCATTGAATAAGAGAAATACTCTGGAAAGAAGCTTTAAGGTCCAATATCCAATCTCTTAATGTCCAAATTTAAAACATACGTATAAATTCATATAGTCCAGGTTGTGCTGAAAAGATTGATACCACACAGGGGCGGATTTAGCAATTTGGGGGCCCAAGGCGAACACAGACATGGGGCCACTTACACAAAATTTTCGACAATCTTACCTTTAACTGGATTTGTGAAACTCTCCCCTCTTCTGACATGAGTTATTTTCCCTTTATATTAGTCCTCCTCTTTTTTCCTGTATTTACCTCCCTTTGAGCACTTTCAATATTTGCTCTGCTTTCTTTTTCCTGTCAGTGCTCCTGTGTTTTAGCCTTAGTTATTTTTTTTTCTATTTTCCATTTTGGTCTGTTTTCCTCCCTTTAAACATTTTCCATTGTCTTTCCTTTCTGCTTCCTTTTGATGTTTACATAGAAAAACGACGTCACTTTCAGAAGTGAAAATAAAAGCTTTTATGAAGCATGCTGCTTCTTTCTCTTATTGGAGCCACTAGGATAACTCCATTTCATGCTTCATGTTTTGACTATCGCTTTGAGTTTGTTACGAACGCTCCCGCCTCTCTTCTTCTTCTTATTTGTGGTCTTATGGCACTTGGCAAACAACAATTTGGTGCATTACTGCCACCAACTGGATTGGAGTGGAATTACTACCAATCACTTCCTGTTTGTGCATCGCTGTCTTAATAACCCTCTTATGACCATAATTATAACAGGGCCGCCTGGTATTTTTTTAATCTTATGGCTGTAAAATTGTAATAAAAAGTGCAAAGTGTGTGTAACTCTTCTCATTTTTTCTGAACAACCTCAGCTTTCAGTGTATGGTTTGTATTTAGAATTTATTTCTATTAAAGCCTTTTAAAAAATTAGCTTAAAAGTGAAAAAAGCAAAAAACGGATTTGAATTTTTTACATTTATTACTGAACAGGAACTTCTAAATTACTGGACAAACAATTTAAACTTTAAACTGTCGTCGTCTTCCTCCGGTTATCCGGGTCGCGCGGGCAGCATCCCAACTAGGGAGCTACAGACCGTCCTCTTCCCACCTCCTCCGGCAGGACCCCAATGCGTTCCCGGACCAGATTGGAGATGTAACCTCTCCAATGTGTCCTGGGTCCACCCGGGGGCCTCCTGCTGGCAGGACATGCCCGAAACACTTCCCCGGGGAGGCGTCCAGGAGGCATCCTGACCAGATGCCCAAACCACCTCAACTGGCTCCTTTTGATCCGGAGGAGCAGCGGTTCTACTCCGAGTCCCTCCCGAATGTCCGAGCTCCTCACCCTATCTCTTAAGGCTGAGCCCAGCCACCCTACAGAGGAAACTCATTTTGGCCGCTTGTATCCACGATCTCATTCTTTCGGTCATTACCCAAAGCTCATGACCATAGGTGAGGATTGGGACGTAGATCGACCGGTAAATCGAGAGCCTGGCTTTCTGGCTCAGCTCCCTCTTCACCACGAAAGATCGGCTCAGCGTCCGCATCACTGCAGACGCCGAACCAATCCGCCTGTCGATCTCCCGATCCCTCCTACCCTCACTCGCGAACAAGACCCCAAGATACTTAAACTCCTCCACTTAAGGTAGGACCTCTCTCCCGCCCCGGAGTTGGCTAGCCACCCTTTTACTTTAAACTGTAATGCATCTATTCTTAAAAAAGTGTGAACCTTGGTATCTTTTTTAGCAGTTTTTAAGACCATTTATTTGTGTAAACTTTCAGACGTTTTTATTTGATGTGGTAGACCTTGAAGCAGTTTCTCTCCACCTGCAGGCAGAGCGCACCTCTCACTGCCATGGAGTGCTTCTCTTGCACACCGTGCACTGCTATAACCAAAAACTTTTGTTTTAGCAAAAATAATTATTTATTGTAAAAAGATACATAATGCTGGAATGAAGCTGAATCTTACAATTAGCAAATAGTTGAGGGTTGTTCAAATAAAAAAATAAAGACTGAACAAACAATCATTCCCTGGTTCACCAGAGATCTGTCCTTCTTCATGGTCACTGTCTTCAGAAATAAGCCTTCTGGGATACCTAATCGATCGTGTTGATTTTTTTTGAGGCATTTCTATAATTTCATGCTGGCTTTTTAAGCTAATTAGCTTCCCCGTCCCGTTATCCGCTTTCACCGCGGCACTGCGCTCCGTTTCAATCAGGCTGTACAGCAGGATCTCCCCTCGTAGCGACATTGTCCATAACTCTGATTGCTTCATGCTATAGATTGTTGGAAAGCTGATTTTATGTACTTTTAGGAACCGCTGGAATATTTTGAATCTGATCAGCCTTTCAAAAGTTATGAAACAGAGCATTCTGGATGACAAACTCAGCACGTCTCTGAATCTGTGTTGTGATTCGTTGCACTTTTGGAATTTTAATGATATCTTGAACGGTTCAGGAATTATGGTAATGAGAAGCATGTCCAATCCCGTCTGCGGTGACAGGTTGGTAATAAGAATATTGTGGCATTAACAGAAGGGTGCCGGCGGTCAGGGCTAGGGGGCCCCCCCAACACAAGGGGGCCCCAGGCAGCCGCCGACCTATACCTAATGGTAAAACCGCCTCCGATACCACATAAGGTAATTACACCCTGGACTCCAGAGGGTTAAAACAACTAGAAATTAATTAAATCTAAGTACAAATGCAAAACACCACCGTTTATTTTTCCTTTTAAAAGTAAAATTATAATCCTTACCTGAACCTTCCAATTCGTCTTAAGTGTGAGAACATCTCTCCTCCAGGAACATATTCCATCACCATGTACAAATTGGAGTTGTCCTACAAGGGAAAAAACATTGAAGTGGACCAAACAAACAAATTTTCCCATTTGAAAATTTCAAAATAATTGTGCCGTACCTTAAATGCATACTCAAGTTTGACAAGAAACGGAAAGCTCACTGCTTGTAATATCCTCTTCTCGTTTAATGTGTGTTCTATTTGTTTGAGCTTCACCACCTGACAGAAAAAGAGTCTGGTCAGACAAATCCCTTTCATAAGAGTTTTTTTTTTCGAAACAGCTTTAATTATTAATAACGTCTTTTACATTTAACCCCTTATTGCCACACTAAAGGTCATTTTTAAGAGGGTAAGCTGTTATTTTTTAAACTCTGAGTAAGTGGCCAGCTTTTTTTCCCCACTTTTTTACCGACCCTGGACGTTTACGGCTCTTGTCAACATTTTAATTTGTTTGGAAATTCTCCTTGAAGCCTTACATAAAGTTTCCACTGACCTTTTGCTTGTCCAGGATTTTCATGGCAAAGTATTGCTCTGTCCCTTTGTGTTTCACGAGCATGACTCTTCCAAATGAGCCGGTACCCAGGGTTTTTATCCTGTCAAAGTCATCTAGGCATGTTGTGCACTGTGGTAACAATGCAAGGTTAATACAATATTTACAAGGGCTGCAAAAGGTTACATCATACTTTTCATCAGACTGACCTGTGGTGGGCATTCCCATTTTCGTAAGAAATCTTCTTTGGCTTTGGCTAGGAACTCTTTAACTGAAAGAAAGGAAAATTGGTATACAGACAATAAGTGTTGGCACAATTTCTTAAGCAAAAAAAAAAAAAAAAACAGGTTAAGGCTGCAAACAGGGTTAAATGTTTTTTAGCAAACCGCTCAAGGAGGAGGAGGAGGGGAAAAGTTAGGTTTTGAAAGCAAATAGTAAGTGAAGAACAGGCAGAGTCCACTCATCTGGATATTATGAAAACATCACATTTTTGGCTAAAGAGAGGATAAAACACAAACACAAAACAACATCTACAACAGGCAGACGAGTGATGCATGGCAAGAAACTCTGCGTGTTTTCTGTTACTCAGTGGCCTCATTCAAAAGGATAAAATGTAGGGATGCTCCGATGTGCTCGTGTGATTTTCAAAAGGTCGGAAAAGATCAGATCGAACCTTATAAAACAACAAACATGATCTTTTAAATTCATCCCAAGCAATAACAATGGCTTAGTTTTAAATTGAACAAGTTCCCTTGCATCAGTATTTATGGCTGCATGGTCAATAACACTGTAACGTCAAATAATTTACAGCAGGCAGTAATTTAGACCCCATCACATATAAGCAATTAGCCGGTATGCTAACGCAGAGCTAACATGTTGCATCAGGAGAGAAAAAGGTCTGCAGATTTTATGTTATTTGAACCGGACAGCGAAGGCAGTGCAACATTATTGTAATGTTCGCATATTGGGCATTTCGAGTGATGGAAAAGACAGAGCTGCGTTCAACAACACAAATCTAAAAACAAACTACTTTCTCTTTCAACTTTTCCCTTCAAGTGACACCACAGCTAACCATCAGTCTTCACGTAGTTCTTGTCCACCACCTTAAAAACAAACACCCTGCTCAGTTCACTGCAGCAACTTGTACAAAAACACAGAAACGGCGACTAATGCAGGAAATGGGGACAGAAGACTATTTTCCCATTAAGCCTGCATGTGAAGCTGAGTGACTGATCATAATTTAAATATAACAAGTAAAAAGCAGTTTCTCACAGATCTTAACTCTTTAAAAACAGAGAATTTGCCTACGAAAGGCAAAAAGGTCAAAGGCAGTTTCCTGGAGCCGCGGTATGAGTTGCCTTCTTGTAACGCAGCTCTACAGATAAAAGAGTGATCCTGCCAGCTGTGACTCCATGCATGAACTGTCATGGGGATGCACATCGCTCATTACAGCCGCATAGCATCCAAACATTTTTAAAATTTTGCCTAAAGGATCGTTTTAAATATATATGTAATAGGGACCCTAAGTCACGCTCATCTACTTCTAGACATAAGAAAAAATGAATGGAAGTCAATGGGGCTATAAAAGCTATTTTCTAATTCTGTTTGATGTGTGCCATAAATTTCAAACGATGTCCGTGATTTTTAAAGACACATTTTGATGCTAAGAAAGCTTCCATTTTTGGTTCTTTTTAAAACACAGGTAAGGTTTTTCTTTACCGTGCTAATGTTTCGTTTGCCGACTGCAAAACATCCTCAGAGCTGACACTGATGGTGGCGTCACGGGCAGCAGAGGACGTTGTCGCCCTCTGCTGCCCGCTCTCCCCTCTCCGATGATGCAGTTCCATGCGCGATCCAATGTGTAAACCCCATCGTCTCTGTTCATGGTCCCGCATCCACGTCTCCTTTTCTCTATAGCTTCTTTTGTATTTCTGTTGTTTGGTGTTTATGATCCTTGTGTTGTCCCAGTCCATTACATGGTTTTCTCTTGTGTAGTGATCTGTTACGGCTGACTTCTTCATTGTACTTTCTGCTTCTTGTTTTGCTGCTCTTGTGTGTTTTCGACTTGTTTCTCTCTCGCACTCCTTTCTATGTTCTATTGTTCGTGTGTTGAGTTGGCGTCCGGTTTCTCCTATGTATGTTTAATTGCAGAGTTTGCATGGGATTTCGTAAACGACTCCACATTTAAGTCCAGCTGGTATCTTGTCTTTTGGGTGCACTAGTCTGTTTCTAAATGTTGCATCATTGTATCAATGAACTTTCTGAACAAGTGATATTTTTAGGCAGATTAAGGAAATGTCGTTCTTTTGCCTTCTTATTTTATAGCATTGCCGAGGTATTGGATCGGGACTCTGTATCAGCAGATACTCAAACCAAAAGACTTAGACTTGGAGGAAAAATAAAGTGATCGGAACATCCCAAATTAAAGGGTAAACGCCATTAAAACACTGCAAGTTTCCCTGAGCATCACTTACAGAAGCAGTTTTTAGGAAGGCTACACAAAACACAGCTTAAAAATGGAGAGCAAAAAACAAACAAACCAATATAAGAGAAACACAGCAGACCGTGGATATCCAGATTGAGAGAGTGCAGACAATAAAACAAAAAGAACAAAAAAAAGTAACATAAATTAAAACAAATATCATCACTGATTTGTTTATCAAAGCACAATAAAAGCAAGCACATCCTGCAGGTTTTCGCAATGAAACCAACGCATTTCTGCTGTTCTGTTGGCCTTTTTGAGAAATCTGCATACCAAAGGTCTCTACAGATGACCATGGATTTTGCAGGAACAATCACCCACATGGATGGGATGACACAGAAGAGAAGACAGAGAGAAATACAGAGTTCATGTAGATAATAAGTGTAACAGCAGCAAACAAGTATGTGCCATGAATAGAAGGAACAGCAATGACAAAACGACCAGCAATCACCTGAGGAATTAAAGCAGATACAGTACTATGATAGTGAAAGAACAGGTGTACTAGAATGTCAAGTACCAGAGGTTCAGTCATGCACGTTAGGTCAGATTGAACAGATACGACTTTAAAAAACATTTAAAAATTAAACATCATGTGCTACAAAAGGCTCTAATTACAAAATATGTTTTAATCTGCAATTTTGTTTGATTTTAGGAATTTGAAATTATGTTCAAAGCACTAAGTCATAGAACTGCAAGTGATCAAATAGTAGTAATTTTAAACATTTTGTAAACCAAGATTCTCAAAAGCTGTTTTTGTGTTTAACATTAAAGGTGTGGTTCACTGAAGACCCATTTTTAATGGTAATTTCTGATTATAACCAGTCACTCTGAGTTTTTAATGCAGGCTGAACACAAAAATAGTCTCCTACATCTAACTCCTACATTCGCTTCTGATAGAAATTAGATGATGAAATACTAGGATTTGAAAACCCTGACAGATCTACGTCACACTGTCACTTAACGGTCACGGACTCACCCATCTTGACTCGCGATGGGGAAGACTGTTGTTTTTTTAGCATCCAGGAAACAGCAGAGAATGTCTCAGATAGTAGAAGCTAACCGTTAGCATGAGCAACTCCACCACACAGCAGAATTCATTCAGGCTTGTGTTATTTGTTGAGATAAAACATCAACATTGCAGAGAAAATTGAGTCTGTGGTAGCGATGGGTTTCTGTTAGCCAATCAGAGGTGAGATGTCCAAATATCAGGAAGTAAGACTCCAGATCCTGCCGCCTGAAGGTCACCTCTGATCTGGGAATCTTCTAGATCCTGAAACTGGTGCACCTGAGCTTTTGTACCCAGAGTACAACTAACATGGTGTTCATTCCTACTAGAGATTACTGTAAATGTATTGATTTAACGAGTGAACCACACCTTTAAAAAATGTCATTTGGAGGTAAATATCTGACCTTTACAATTTCCTAAAAATGCCAAATGTTCTATTTATACTTATAAAAGCAACCAATTCTATTTATGAAGCCAAAACCATTGTGTGACTAGAATATATTAGAATAAAACTTCTGCTTTGGGAAAGTGCTATCTTTAAGTCACTTAAATGTTCAAAATTAACCACAAACTTTTTTTGTAATCCAGGGGGAAACATCAACTGCCTCCATAGTCTGGTAGACAAACATCTCAGGAATCAATGCCAAAATACAGCCAAGCAGAACACGGCTGAGTTATGCAGCCTGCCCTGTTGTGCACACACAGTACACGGGTGCTGTGTAATAAATAAGTGTCACAACAGCGTGTGTTTAATCCTGACTGTGCTGGTGCTCTTTCAAGCGTTCCAGCCTGAGACATCTACACACAGTAAACACGGGGAACATGTAGCACTGTAGGTAACCAGGTCATCTTGTCAACAGAGGCTACTCTCCAGACAAATCTGCAGCTTGGGGCACGGTGTCGGCTTAAATAGGTTTAACAGTCAGCTACGACCCTGGATCTCGGGATCACAGGTGAATCCAAAGCAACTGCTTGGTTAGTACTGAAACTATCACTGATCTGATCATCCTCATGGGCTTGTGAGTTGTTGTATTTGGCATCTTACGTTGGGCCAATAACTGTCAAACAAAAACAATTACAACATCATAAAATGACCCATTTAAGCACACTGGGACCAAACAAGCACAAACGGTTTCCTGGGATTTTAAGAGAAGGAAAATAAACAAAGTAAGCTGTACATTTTCTTGAATTTCAAATATGTGGCTGTAAAAAACACAATAACCCCCCATTACTTTAGCAGTTTTTATATCCAGGCACAAAACGTAAGTTACGATTCACATCAGGGGACGTTAAGCAGTGATCAGATGCACACATCAAAGTATGCAAGTGTAAAGTAACGCTGGCCCAGGCTGAGTTACGTCAAACCTTTCAAAGCTTGTAATACTCCTTATCCTCTGACGAAGGTCCGATGACAAGCTGCTCCAGTCAATGACGAGCCGAGTGTGAGAAGATCTGATGGGAACTTTACCACTAGAGATGGGGGTCTAACCAAGAACAAGTGCCACGATTAAGGGGTTTTGTCTTCACAAGGGTGTGTGCTCCTATACTGGACACAGTAGTTGGTCCCATTTTTTTAATGGGAAGAGAGAATTTGTCATTTCATCTCCATATTTGGTTGTGGTGCTCTGCTGAGAGGGACGGCTTTGTTTATGTATCCAAGAATAAAATGTGGCAGTGAGGCCTGAGGCAGAGCCAGTCCCACTCTGCCTTCAAAATAAAAAGCAATGTCTATTTTTACAAATTATGCATGGGTCTTTGGTTTATCGCTGCAGATTTAAGAGCATCACTGCAAAGTTTTAGTCTGACACAGCTGGCAGGGCTGAGAGGAGCCTGCAGCCAAACGCACAGACTCACTTTGCTCAGTTTTATGTTACACTAACCCGAGTGTTCGGGTCAAGTTGGGTTTAGGCGTTTTAACCTATATCCAAAGACTGGCAGGAAAACGAGAGCAGAACTGGGCTGACTTTAAGGGCCCGAACAGCCACTGCCAGGGAATGAGGGGCCTTCTGTGGGATACTCCCCCACCCACCCACCATAAAAGCTAAAGTTAGCAGGCTAGCTGAATTCAACCTAGATAAACGGAGCTCTAGCGAAAACGCAAATACTCGCTATACACTATATTATAAATGCGCTGATACACATGAGATTGACAGTTACCCCAAATGCTTTATTAGCTTGTTTACACACTCCGCGCTGCTCCCCTCCCCCTGGATGCCAAGACAGCCTTGTACCCTAGCCTGGACTACTATTATTTATATATCTAACAAATACATGTAGCTGACTTGTGAAGGCTTAATGAAACGCCTAAAACGGAGCTAAACAAAATCCGGTTGAAGCCATAACGGCAGCCGGGACTCACCGCTCTCCAGTTCGTTGCCCTTCTTGGCGGTGGCAGCATTCCCCATGGTGTAGAAGACACGGCGGTAGCTCCGACTGAGGAGATGATGGCGGCGGCGGCTAGCTAACCTTCCAGCATATGTTTTCGAGGTCTTTCAAAGAGGAGAAAACAACCCGATAGAAATCTTCGGTCGGTTTGAAAGTGACAAAGTCACGTTCAGTGTCCCTTCCGCTGCCCTTTCACTTTTCCCACAGCCTTCCCCTCCTTCCCTCTGACAGATTTCCGCTGCTGCTACCTCAGCGCCGCCGTCTCCGCACGGCTGACATCAAGCTAGCGGTCACTTGTGTTTCGTCTAAGGCAGGCCGTTGTGGCATATAAACACACCACACTGACACTTTTCCCAAAGAAATGCTGGAATGCCGCATGTCCCTATTTAAATTCAAGATGTTCATAACACTTTGCAATAAGGGTCCTTTTATTAACGTTACTTAGTGCAACATTAAGCGTAAATAAACTATTAAATAAAGTAGTAACAACCATTTAATATTAATGTTAATATAAAGTGATGCTTAGCAGACATCCCACAGCCCACCGGGTTTTTGTGCTAACCGTAAGGACACTTAATAGTTTAAAATTTCGCGAACGTTAATGAAGGGATTCTTTGTTTATTAATGCTTAATAATGCAGTAAATAACGGCAATAGATAGGGATGCACCGATACCAATAGCAGTATCGGTATCGGTAAAAGTTAGCCGATACCAGGAACCGATACCAATGCAGTTGCTTGAAAATGGCTTCACTGTAACTTGTCATTTCTGTTCACCTAATATTTTAGTTTTGTGAGGATTTCCGTTCATATATTTTACTTTTTATCTATCTCACAGTCTTTTCCTGTTGAAAGCAGAGAATAAAATCTGCATTCCAAACCATTGCATTTTTTTGTGTGGCGGAAGTATCGGTATCGGTAATCGGCATCGACGAGTACTCAGATCCAAGTATCGGTATCGGTATAGTATCGGTTTGGAAAAAAGAGATATTGGTGCATCCCTAGTAATAGAGACACCCTTAAAGTGTTACCAAGATATTTAAAATAATAATCCAAAGTCTAATGAGATTCTAAATTAAAAAGTAAATGTTAAAACACTATTGATGCAGAAATATGCATCAATAGCCGTTTTGGCTAATGTTAGTAGTTTTCAACATATTGTATCAGTCTGATATTAATTTCCATCTAGCTGTCCATTTTGCATCTGTTTGGTCATCCCATAAGTGTATGTGAGTGTGTGTGTGTGTGTGCGTGCATGTGTGTGTGTGTAAATATTATATGAATGTAATGTGAATAAATTTGGGTTATCGGCCATAACAGCAATAATAATATCAGATATTGATGTCGGCCCACATTTTCATGTTGATGCATCCCTATTAGACATTTTAAAGAATGTTTGGGAAGTTTGTTTGTTTTTTAGTTAAACCGAATCTGAATATTTGAAATGAAATCCCTACATATCCAAAAAGACTAATTGAAACATCGAATGCAACTTTCGCCCATCCGCAATCAACATTATTCTTCCAGGGACACATTAGGTGCTTTCATGTGGCTTCCAGCGTCAGAAGGCCACAGCTGCAGTCTTCAAAAGAGCCCTCGCCTCTATCAGCGAGCTTTAGGGTAGCTGCGGCTACATTGTAGCTCATCACCATCAGTGTGTGAATGGATGAATGATACACTGTGGTGTAAAGCGCTTTGGGGTCCTCTGATTCTGAAAGGTGCTGTACAAGTAAAAGTGCTTCATCATTAAAACTGACATTATAGATATTTGGAATAATTTTTTTGTGGCAGAAGCATGCGTTTCAGATATATATCATTTACCATTTTATTCAGTATTGAGATAAGAATGATAACTCACTGCTTATATGAAAAATGGTTGTTTAACATTATATAGACAATAGCGTGATAAAATAAAATAACATTATATAGACAATAGCGTGATAAAATAAAATAAAATCCAAATAAAATCTTTACAAACACTTCAAAAATTCCATTATTTGAATATTTTTGAAAGAACTATAATGTTAAATGATAAGTTGGCTTGCCAAACAGTTTGCTTAGTGTATTTTGACCAGAGTGGTAACTGCACAGTTATACTTTGTCTGACTTTTAGAATTTCCTCTTTCCCTTTAAAAAAATAATCCCTGCATTAAACAATGAGAGAGGAAGCTTGAAGATGGAGAATAATGAACAGTTGCTCTGAACTGGAACAATTTGGTTATCCCATGATATTTTGGTTATATTCTGCACACAAGCCTGTGGTTTGAATCTACATGATACAAAAATATTCATGTAAACACGTAAGACTTGACATAATTTATTAACTGCATGTTTCAATTTAAACTGGTGATGTCAATTTGTTTGTAATCCAAAGCCTGAAACTTTAACAAAATACAGAGTCAATAGAAAAATTATTTTCATAGAAAAAGCCTTGATAAGTACTTGTCTTCTTAATTTTTACAGATTAACAATGAAAAAGAGAATAATTTTCATTAAAAAAAAGTCCACTCTGGTCCAGTTAGTCACCTCCTCTGACCTGATACTACTACTCCCTCTTCCTCCCATGTTGCACCAGCAGATCAGGACCACAATTTTTATGTTTATGTTTATTCATTTGGCAAACGCTTTTATCTAAAGCGACTTACAATTTATAACCTATAGGGCATGTTGTGATCTGTGGGGGAAACCAGAGTACCCGGAGGAAACCCACGCATGCATGGGGAGAACACGCAACTCCACGCAGAAAGGCTGCAGCCGAGTTTCAAACCTGCAACCTTCGTGCTGCGAGGCAACAGTGCTAACCACTGCGCCGCCATGCAGCCCAGACTGTTGACTGTTGCATGGCAAAAACAATCAACTTAAACACTTGCAAGTTTTAAATTCACTATAAAGTTTGTTTATAATATATTCCTATTTTGCTCGTTTAGGGCCTAGCTTCCTGTTTCACTGCAGCTCTTATGGGAATCGGTTAAAACACATTGTGTGAGGGAGGAAGTTGGAAAAATTACCATACAATTCATTTGAATATGTTAACAGTCACATCACTGTGATATTTGTACACCTTCAAGTGTAAAGTTCACATACATACTAGTGAAATCAGGTGTCTACAGCATATGTGAAGTATTTTGCATGACATTTGGTTGCAACTTTTGCAAAACAGGCCACAAACTAGGCAAGCCGAAATGTAAAAGTATTTTCCTGTCGAATGTTTTGTGCTGTTTTCTTTTGTACATCTGTACAATGACACGAAGAGTGCAACTCCTCTGCTTAAGAAATGTAACCATTTTTAATTCAGCTTTGTGGCTAAATGTCTGTTCCACTTATGTGATTTATAATCTCAGTAAACATTTCCATAATGGATTCATCATTCTGATTACCAGTTTCATTATTTAATAGAACACCGTGAGCCTTTTGGTGAGTATCGCTCTATAGGAGTAGACAGTAAACAAGGGCATGCAACCTGCTGAGAGTGTGAAGCTGATCCAAATGTGTTAAAGGACCAGAATTTTGATCCATGTGCTCAAACTGGCATCTACAGAAAGATGCATTATGCATACCGAATTTAGCCTGGAGGTAAGTCTGAGCGTTCAGAAAATTGGCATGGACATTGTCATTTACATATCACACATCCTCTGATGAAAGCATTAAAGACAAGCGTGTTATATTGGATTCTTACTCACTTATAAACATGCTAACTTCAACACCTCTGCAATTTGTGAATCCTCTAGTATCCAAACCCCTGTCATGCTAGTGTTAAGGTGAGGGTAGGGATAGAACCTGATGTGCATGCTATACTTGTAAACAACAGCGATTTTTATTTTAAATGGATTGAAACTCGACTCATTTTCACTATTTGGCCTCTCAGATCTTAGTAGGTCTTTCACTCATATGTGTGCACTGCTCATTCAAAGGGGAAAAGCTTTTACAGCTTTGAAGTTTTCCCATCAGCTGCATTTTATAGGAACTGAGGCCTCGCTGCACACTTCCACAACTGTTTGCTCTCCTCTACAGAAAGGGCCTGAGGCTTTAATGCTGGGGAGCATGACCTGTATTGTATGCTACGAGTCAGGCAACAGCACCAAGAAACAAAAACAAGATGTCTACTTCTCACATAGTTTTAGGAGCATATGTCATGGCTCTTCAGTATCAGCGAGTTCCTATCTGTTTACCTGAATTTTGTGGTTTAGGATAGTAAGGTACGCTATAATTATATGTTACACAAGCCATAGATTCCATCTGCTATCATCTGATATAGAAAATGTTTCCATTTCACCTTTAGATCGCATCATTTTGGTATACAATCCTTTCCTGTCCGTGGCTGTTTGTATCGTTACGACACAACCTTGTATAAGTGTGCCCTAGGGGTGAAGAGAACTTCTCCCACTTAAAATACCCCATCATTCCAGGAAGTATACCAGAGATCATCCATCACGGCACTAGACATCCCTGTGATTTAGGAATAAAACTCTTTTTCATCCAACACAACAGACCCCCTTTTCACCGGATCAAGCTGACTTCTGATTCATTGGCGAAGCTCGCCAACTTCTTTTCCTTTCTTGGAGTCAAACATGCGCTTTCTGCTCACACAAAAAGCTAGCTCCCTGATGTGAGCCAAGGCTACTCTCCCAATCATTACGAATGATTTGGAGTTGACGTTCACCACACACCCGTGTAAGTAAGACAGATGTAGCCACAGTGATGTCAACGGTTTTGAAGATTTGACCCAGACTTTTTTAATTTGCTGTCTTAATCTTTAAGGGGAAAAAAATGTGAAAAGCTACTAAGAACCAGACGGTAGCGCTCTGTCAGCATCAATGTAACTTAGCAGTGAAGCACACCCTGCTTTATCGTGTGTTTTACCTTAAATGGCACCATTACTTAAACTATAAGCACCATATTACCGGAATGGTAATCA